AGACTTCCTAAGTTTTCCCTATTAAACAAAGGAGGGCCCCTTACCTCTTTCCCAAAGCCATGACCATGGCTTCAAAAGAGCTGTCGTACCGAAGCAGTGGAATGCTATGTCCAGAGAGGGTAGACTCAATGAATTCTGACAGTCCAAAGTATTTCTTGTTCTCATGGTATAAATCTACGCCCTAAAGCAAATTAAGCAATAAAAATATAAGGGTAAAGTCTATCAAGAATTAATTTATGAGTGATTAACCATTGGTATCTTGATATACTTACAATCACATTCTCTAATAAACATGCATCTACTCAGACATATTAAAACAAAAAGAGAAAGAAATAGAACTAGTTATTTTGAGAGAATGAAAATTTGACCCAATTTCTCCCAATTTCTTTCTCTCTCCCCACATATCCATATACACAAACAGCTATATGGAATAAATATGCACACATATGAAGAAAATCCATGTATGTATATATATTTACGCAGTAATGCACTAGAGACAGAACTGAAGAAGATTTCCATTTATGTAGCTCAAAACATTTTAGCAGAGCTACTAAGGTTTATGGAAAATATAAAAGGAATAAATAAAAAGAAAGCTAGAAAGGATAAGAAAAGGAAAAATGAACTTGCTACAGACTGAACAAGATGTCATTCAAACTTCAGTCTTGTTTACAAAAATCATGGGGACTTCACAGTTTTATCAAGTACATAAACGGAAAATAACTCGTGAAAAGCTCAGAAAAGCACTTCAAAGCATCCATCTTACATTGCTGTATGAAGAAGGCCAGTGGATCTCATTGTAAGGGCTGATATGAGTGTGCTGTGTCTGCAGCGCATAGGGGAAGGAAGTCACATGGAGGGTCACAATATTTGGTGCCTCTTTCACCTCCCTGCAGTTCAACAGTCTATCAACAAGTCCTGTCGACAGCTCTGTTTGAGGATAAAGACTATGCATAGCACTGCAAAAAAAGAAACCCAAAACTCTCCAAAGTGATCAGCAAAAGGGAATATTTGTGTCAGTGGAATAACTCAAACTTGGATGTAAAATCTAAGTTAAAGGAATTTAGGACTCTTCTTTTATCCTGAAATTGTTGCACAGAAGGATGGGAAAAGAAAATGCAAATTATTTCACTGCAAGTAAAAATTTCTGTGAGTGTGATAAGCTCTCTAGCTAGCAAATTACCAATCCCTTGCAGCTACCAGAGTATGAAAGATAAAGCAGGAAAGGAAACTGATGTGGCAGTTACCAATAGACACATAGTCCTGTAGTAACTTTGGTCAGATGGTTAGTGCTGCCCTTAAAAAAACATAATTCTAATTACAAAAATCAAGATAGAAAAGTGCAGGTGGTAAGTCAGCATGATAGAAAAAGAGAGAAAAAGCAAAGAATAGTTACTCTTAGAACAAATCATAGTATCACTGAATACTGACAGTCAATTCCTTGCTCCTGTGCAAAATTTCAGCCCAAATTCATGCTATTTATTTTTGGCATTTACCTACCTCTGTATCTTTATTAGATAGAAAACAGAGTTAAGCAGCAACATAGGTACTTCCCTACCAGTCAAGGATGTTATATTAATAAATGCCTCAAAGGCTGGGACAGCTGTAAAAGTCCAAGTTCCTAAGACAGGGGAGCTGAACAAGAAACCCTCAGAGGAAGTTTCATTGAAAGCCATCATTGTTAATCAGTGTGAAAGACAAGACCTCACTTCATCCACAAGCAAGATTCCACATTTTGTGGTTTCAGAAACACTACCATGATCCCAAAGTGGGGGAATATGTTGGAGTTTCTGAAATTCAGAATGTTTTCCAACTTCCCCAAGAGCCTCAGAACCAGACAGCAGAAGCAGCCCCACTTCTCAGCAGGCAGGCTGTTGAGAATGTGTGGACACAGCTCTGTGAGGGAAGCAATGAGTTACACCAGTGAGCTGATGGGAACTTGGTTAGCACTGGACAGGAGCTCTTCTCTTTCCTTCAGAACTCTACCTGGCATCACTACGAATCCACAGAAGCTTTCAATTCTTACAAAGTAGTGATTTTGGATAGAAAAGAACTGGGGAAAAAAATAATCAGCAGTGCTGGCTCACTGGTTGTCTACTCACTGGGTCAGAGTTTTGCAAATTTTACAGCCCAGAGGACAATAACAGAGGATGAGCTCTGTGTACTTTCACAGGAAGCTTTCCCCTGAACAAACAGCCAAAAAAACAATAGCTAAGGCTGAAAGTAGACAAGAATGGGGAGCAAAAAAAGCTGGAATATTCCACTGAGGCACAATATAATAAGAAGGGTAAGAGTAAGTCATAAAGGACCTTAAAACATGTTTATTCAATGCACGGGGAAGCAGAGTTAGCAGAAAGATGCAAACAAAGATGAAGGGATAAATCTAAAAACTAATCTTGAGAAATAATGCAGATAATAATTTCTCTAAAAACAATAACAGTTTTCTTACCTCATTAGATCCCAGTGTGCATGATCATGGATTAAGACAAACAGTGTGTGTGGATTCTGCATAGAGTTTTGTAAAAAGACTTTGAACTTAATTTGGGCTTCTGCATCTAGTTTCATAACATACTGTTCCACTCTCTGCTTTGTAAGATGTTCCTTTTCTAATCCAAGTTCTAACAATATACCTAAAAGAATGGAACAAAGTGTCAGTATTTCTGGATATGAATACATCTAAGAATGTTGTGTAAATCTAAAATAAAGCTCACTAATGAGCACCTGAGTGCCAGAGATGAAACAAAGTCTGTTGATAAGTCACTTCGGAGGGTGGAACACAAATCAAGAAATCAATTTTCTCGAAGGAACCCAAATCAAGATTTTGAGTGCTGGAGTCAGCAATTGAGCAAATATGAGACAGCAATTTCTGAGCCACTGCTAGCTGGAATGGACGAATTTGATGTCGTTCAATCTCATAACCTGGAAAAAGGCAAAATTCTGTTTAGATATATGCCCAAAGGCTGATTTAATGCAAAATACTAAGAGTCTGGCAAAGAATGACTAATCTACTCTTTAAGGTATTTTGCTTATTTACTATATTTAGGAGTTCATTTATGAAAATTCATATAGAATATGCAAATAAATCTTTCTATATTTGGACTTTTTGGTCCTGTAAGTGTCTGAGACCTGAAAATGAATTTGAACAATAGCATTCTGCTACCACAGAAGAACAACTTACATCTTCAAACACTATAATACCCAGTGGAATGAAGCAGAACATCCATCAGTGTAAATCTGAATATTCCAAGACATGAGTTGCTGTTTGCCTCAGGACCTTTGCCTTCTGGGCTCTGCCCAGAGGGTTCTAACTGTGCACCCTGAATTTCGTGTCCAGTGCCCTACTCTGTTACCTCTTTAGAGCATCTTCCTTACTTACTGGTACACACAGCTGTTCCAGCTCCATTCACTGCTGTTGGTTTATTCACTGAAGCAGAAAGTGATGAAGAGATGTGCCCTTGGTTTTCCTGATAAAATTTCTCCAGCAAAATATCAATGTCACCCTCTGTCAAATTGAAGGGATAGTGGAATAAACATCCATGTTAATAAGAGCTGCATTTCATATGGGTTTTGTCTTGTAGATCTTAAAAACTTTATATATATGTTTGCTAGCTATCCTGCCCTTGGCTTATTGGCTGTTTTATACAGGAATTCTCTTGTTATTTTCTATTGCATCTGTTTTTACAAAGTATCACTAGTAAAACGAAAACCAGACCAGAGAATGACAAACTATCTCTGCAGACCAGCCAGGACATTTATGGAATGGGGTAGAAAACTAACCTCAAGGCCCTGGTGCAAACCAGCCACAACAAAGACATGAAACTGGCTTAGTTTATGTTCAGGCCATGGATCCACACTGCTCAGTAACAAGGATTACAAGAAAGTTGAGAAAAATCTGATAAACATTTTTAAAACTCTAACATTTTTGACGGACAGAAAGAAAAAATATTTCTGATACAGCAAAAAGAAAATTATTATTTTTGTAGCTATACACAATGCTGAAGCAAGCAAGGTATATTTTATTGAAGTATTGCATATCTGCAAACATACCCATTTCTATAGAGCAGGGACCCTACTTAGAGATGAAAGCTATGCAGAGAGTACAATATGCCTGACCCAGGCATTAGTATTTTCTCAGCAGTTGAAAAGATGTTTGAGCATGTGTGCAGTGGGCTCAGAAAGGCAGAGCCTGTCCTGTGAAGAGCAGTCCAGTGAATATAGTGACAACTATTTTTAGGATGCTCAGTTACTTGTTCTGTTCAAACAATAGCAACAGCAGAGAACTCTATGATTCTCCATGACTCTCTATGGTTCTCTTTGATTTTGAGAAGCGTATTTTGAAGATACTAAGATAAATAATGCATAACTACAAGAAGATTTAAGGAAAATTATATTCCCTTAAGCGACCACTCAAAATATCATGACACATTCAGAAGGGTTCTTGTGATCTATTTACCAACATGATATGAATGGAAAAAAAGACTGTAACATCCCATTAACATTGACAAATATGCTGCATTTGCCCTAGTTGTGAGATATGGTTTAACTTTCCATATGGCTTGATCTATCCCCAGATAATCCTGCTTGTTGTAATTCTCAGTACACTCACTTAAAAAATGATCCAGTAACCCTGGCTCTCTGCAATTTTCCTCTCTGTCCCAGGTATCACAATCAAGTTCGAAGTATGATAAAATTGAAGAGCCAAATCCTACCTTTCATAAAATAGCTCTGATCTATTCTGGTCTAAATGCTTAAGGCAAAAGAATTTATACATTCATTTGCATACAGACTTACATAATATAAGGATGGATTTGCATAGCTCAGAATAATATACTCCACTATTTGCTGGCCTATTTTTATGAAACCAATGGATTTTAGAAACTGATGCTTTTAGGTGGAATTTCAATTCAACTGTACTTTCACAACTTTGTCCTGCATTTTTCATGTATTTCTAATGGTGTCTTGCTTCTGGTAAGGAAATGAGCACAGGTATTTTCTCAGACTTAAAAGTTTCAGGGATTTGGAAATATGCCTCTTTACAACTTGTTAGGTACCTGGGCAGAGTGTGCTAAAGAAGGACCCCAGAATTTCCACCTTCCCTGTGACCAGCTGATAGTTAACTTCTTTTTGGTAGTCTGAAGGACTGAGCATGCTCTCAGACAGAACTCTTGCCTGATATTTTCCTAAAAGACAAAAAAATATAAAAGGAATTTTTAAACCACTTCAAATTAAAGCTAAGAACGTTCTAAATAATAACAAAAATACAACTAAATGAATACTGCACACACACAAAAATTGCAGAGATGGGTCGTTTATGTCTCTGACACATATATGCATCAGACACATGTAAAATAGATCCATGTTTTACAATTCTTTGTATTTCATTCCCAGTTTGGAAAGTATTTGTTGTCACAGGATATAAAAAGAACATATAATATTGAAAGCAATTGCCAATTATCTTACAATCACAAAGAATCTTTGAATGGCCATTTAGGTAATTTATTTAATCGGGAGCAGGTTGTTGGAGAGAATGACATTGAAAGACATTTTAGAAGCTAAGTAAAAAGTTATCTGCAGTAATATCCCAGCTGCACAGAGCAGGAGAGCTTTATGTACCATGTGTGCTGTAACTCTCTATTTTTTGTTTGCATCCATGTTGGTTGAGATGTTTTGGTGAGAAAATGGGCAATGCAGGCAGAAGATGGTTTGCTGGGGAGAGACCCAACTGTGTACTGCCAGCTTGGGTCCATCAAAGTTGGTCAAAGCTCTGCTTTGTGAGGCAACTTACTGGAACTCCAACCAAACCCCTCACAGCACTGAATTCCTCTGGTTTTCAAGGAGACACATCCCTGGGATATTACCTGTTATCACAATGCAGGAATCAATGGCTCGGTTTCTACTGGCACATATGATCACCACATAGTTTGTCTTTATTAATTTTCCTTCCATGAGTAGTTTAAACATCTCAGAAAGCCCTTCAGCCAGGGAGTAGCTGCACTCAATGATGTGGACGCTGTCATTGCAGGAGCTGGCTGCCAGCCCTGCCAGCCAGGGCAGCTGTGCTGAAGTCACCGGGGTGATGTGGCTGGGCAGCTGCGGGAAGGGCTGCGGAACAGCCTGCTGGTACTGACGGATTTCGGACAGGTGGGATTCCCGCCAGGACCGCATGAATATCTGCTCCAAATCCTCTATCAAAGGGACCTGGTCTGCAGCTAAAAAATAATAACAGGGAAATATTATGGAACAATTAAACAAAACTGTTGAGTTAAAAACTTTTTTTTTTTTAAACCATGCTTCAGATTTTTGCATGCATAACTCTGCTGCCTTTGGCAGATGTGAAGCAAATTTTTCATTCTGAAATGCCTTTGTGATACTCAGATAAAGCTGCCCTAATTTGAACCTGAGTACCAGGAATTAGAAATATTTAAGAGGTTGAGTGCTGCCTGTCTCAGCATAATACTACTTCTGAACCATAGATTGTCCGCAAGAACAGTGAATTACAACTCTTTTCCTTTAATTTTCATTGCAGAGGTCCCAGATGATAGCAAAAAATAAACTTGGTATGTCTATAATTCAATCTGCCTGGACTTCAAGACATCGTTACTTCATTTTGTTCCATAACCATGAATGAAATAGTTTAATATCACATTATCAAAGACTCATATTTAGTACTATACTACCCTAATATTTCCCTTCTCACTGGCCTTCATGTAATATATTCAATGTAGTGTATCTGGATGTAGAACAATCTTACCTAGCTGAACAAGGTAGTAGACAGTCAGTAACAGCTGCATTTCCTCAGAAATAGGCTGTATTGTGGATGCACCGTACTGTTCATATGCTCTAGACAAAGACTGTGAATTTCTGTAACAGGTGTACAACAAAGGACTCACTATCACATCATTAATGTTCCCACAAAGATATGGGAAGTTTCCATGACCTACGAAATAAATGCATGTACACATCACATTAATTTCGTCATTTTCCATATTATTAAACAGTTAGACTGCATTAAACAGTTTCAATACCCAGCCTCTTAAAATGGATAGTGTTAGCAGTGTTTAGGGGTGGGATATATCTTTACATCTCTTGCAAAAAAAAGAGGCCTTGTTGTGGGATTGGGGAGTTTACCTTTAAAGATAACTGGTTTTGCTTTACAGATTTTCAGCAAGTTGTCAGGAACTGAGACTGGTTCTCCTGAGCCCACCATTGGAGAGGAGGCTGGTCCCACCAAAGCAGAATGTGGCAAAGATGGCAGGCTTCCTCCATCTAAGATTTTAGACATATTATTACTGAAGTTAGGCGTGGTAATGATTTTCTCAAACAGAAGTTATTCAGCATTATCTCATACCCACATTTGCTATCAGTATTACCTGATTTTTATGGCTCCATCAAACACCTCATGCCCTGTTACTACAACCCACATTATCATGCAAAGTGTCTTGGAGGACTAATTATGTCACTGCAACATTGGACATCCCACATGCATCCAAAGATTTTGAAATGTTTATAAACAGTTCCAGGTATGAATGCATGAATAGAGACACTAATGTGATACCGTGTATTTGTGATTACATGTGTGGTTATGATTCATGAGTTCTGTGTGATATATTTAGTTTCACTCATTCTAAACAGTTTTTATTGCTATAAGAAAGAAAAAATAAGATTCAACATTTGCTCATTGCTCAGGCATAACTTCTTTATGGTAATTTTAATATAAAAAATAGTACATTAAAATAAATAGTTTATTTAATAATACATTAAAGTACAGTAAATAGTGCAGTAACTTTAATAGTACTTTAAAAGAAATAGGAGAAGTTTCCCCTATTTGGGGGAAACTGGGTTTATTTCACTGCATGTCACTCTTATTTGTATCTAGACTACAAAATCCAAGTGCCAAGAATATTATGCAAATAATTTAAACAATGGAAGGTACTGTTATTATGAACCTGAGTTATGATAATAATTTTAATATTCCAAAGGTGTTTTGGTGTCAAAAAATGAACCCAGGTATCTGTTGGGATTTGTAAATGACTCGGTGACTGGAATCTAAGGAGAATTAGTCTCAGAGCCTCAAAAACAAATCAATGGAAATAAAGCATCTAGGTGAGCACAGAGAAATCTCTCACATGAATCTGCATTTAAAATAATGCCTCTTTCTGCCCATTATTTTCTGAATACTGAAACAAAATCATTGCTTCGGGTATAACTTACCATTTTTAATTCTGTTTGGAGCTTGTGGATTGAGCTGCAAGTTCCAAGTTTCAGTGGATGATGGAGATTCTGGTGACCAACCTTTATGGCGCTTTTTTGGAGGCCCTGAATTTGTTAATGTGCCTGAATATTTCAGAGAAATATTAGAATAAAAGGTACATAGGTTTGTGTGTGGTAATTCAATATACTTTGATAGACTGAATGTATTCAATGAGTATGATAGTAGAAAAGGTCAAGCCTGTTAATATGATAATTTTGTGTGGTTTGTTTTACTTTGTGTCCTGCTTAAACTTCTTGGAAATTTCTGGTGCAGAGAACTCTTAATTATCCAGATTTTCCTTATCTTATACCAATACTTTCTCTCTATTAAGAAAAATACAGAATAAGTACAGTAAGAGACATACTAGCAATCCTTTAAAGTATTAATATTTTGAAGTCAAGACTGTGGGAATTTTGCTCCTTTTATTTCCAAACACATGACACAGTGTTACATGTAACTTATTGAAAAATAATATTCCCAAGGGTTTCAGAATAATAGCAATAAACATCTGAGTTATTTTCAAAGATTTCCCCATTTACAGGATTTTTGCCACTTCTTGATGTTTCGGTCTTTGGTTTTATGTTATTCCATATTAAATCCTATCAAACTACTACACATTCCTGCTACCAATGTATGGGTTCATTTGTTTTTTCTTAAAAATAGCTTTCTCACAGTTTCTCTAGGAGATCCTGATGACTAATTTCTTTCATTTTCTTTCATCATTTTCTTGAGTCTCCTTGTGCACTCCTGCAAACTCCTAGAAAGATGAGCTTCCGCTAACATCAAGTATTTCTAATTATTGTGAGTCAACGGCCCTCCAGGGATTTCTCAGAAACTTGCAGGATTGAGCTATTTCTGTTTCTGGACATGACTACACTAACACTGCTCCACCCTGCCAAGGCTGTATCTCCTGGCAGGATAGTTAATCCCGCATAAAATGCGAGGCAAAGTAAGAATTTCACATTAAAAGTGTGGGTTTAATTTTGAAAAATTTATAAAATTAAAGATAAACCTGAGACCTTCCGCTCTAGAAGATCGTTCCCTTGGCAGAGCCTCACACCCGGATTTCCAATGAGTTTTCCCTTACGTTTTACCACGGGAGGGCAGCCTTTGGCCATTTGTGCTGCTCATCCTTTCCCTTGTCCTGGCACAGCGCTGGGACAAAGTCACAAGATACTTAGAGCAATACAAAAGATTTTTTTATTTGACAGTGCTGTGCTCTTCCCTGCAGATATGTTGATATGTGAAATTAATCCTTCTGAAATTAATTCGCAATAATGTGCTGCTGCATGGAAAGAAGAGATTAAGAGCCTGAATGGGCAGAGAAGGAGAATTCGTCTGTGATGCCAGCAGGGAAACTTGAGAAGATTTATCCTGAAACAGAGCTACAGTTTGTTTCTAGCCATAGGGAAAACTGATTTTTCCTCTTTAAATAAGCCAGTGACACAGTTCGTGACAGAAAACAATTAACAAAAATCATGATTATAATGCTTCAGTCAGGACAGTTTCTTGAATTTGGAGCCAGTGGCCAAAGTCTAACTCTCCATCCCAAGGTGAACTGCAACAGTGCAATAGGAACTGCAATAAGAATGACTATGAGTGATTACTTATAAATATTTCTTAATTCCCTTCACAAAATCTGTTGGTGAAATCGATGCAAACTGACACAATCTTTAAGAACCTGGATTCAGAATCTGGTCTGTGTCTCTATTAAATGAATGAACTATAAATATGAGGGGGAAATATCCAGTTAATAATATGAACTGTAACCAAACTGTGGCTGAAAGAATATAAAGAATTTATTTTCCTGGAAATTAACACAGAAAACAGCATTGTGGTCAGAAAGGACTTGGAAAGGAATGGTAATTTCTATTCTTTCTGGAAATTACAATCATTATATAATTCAATGCTTCTGCTACACACATAGAGTTTAGGGTTATTAAACAACAAATCCATGCAAATACCTAGCACTGAAGGTCTCGTCAGAGCAGGCAGGTTATTTTTCATCAACTGCTGTTTAGGTGATTCCTTGCCATTATAAACTGCTGAGCTGAATGCAGCTGTTGAAGGGATGTGATCTACGGCTGCAGCTGACAAGAAAAAAACCCCGAAGAATTTACATTAAACATTTCTAAGTCAAGATCCTCAGCTGATATAACAAACCAATCATTTCATCATTTACTTTAGTAGAGCCATTAAGATCTGCTCAGAATGAATACAATGCTGAATGAAACAATCCACTTCTGACCTCCTACTCCCAATTAAGTGCCTGGGCAAAATCTGATTCTTCAATTAAATGCATATGTCAGAAGCTGTAGCTTCTTTGCATGGCCCTGGCTCTTACATAAAGTTTACTCAAGAGTCAGGCAAAAGAGAGATGTTTAAAACTTACTAAGCCTCCATCCCAATCTTTCCCTAAGATTTTTTTAACTATGCTGCATTAAAAAAAAAGAGGTGTTCTCAAGTCTAACATGCTTGTAATTAATGTAGCTTTTTTGAAATATCTGAGGGAAAAGAAAAAAAAAGGCAATCTGTTATCATAAAGAAATTGATGATTTGTTCTGGAAGGCCACCAGTATTCCAGATCACAACTATTTAACAGACTTCTATCTCATACAGAGAATAGAATATAACCACCACAGATGTGCTTCAGCTCCCCTGTGTAAAAACCCAGGAGGAACCTGTAATAGTCACGGGACACTGTAGTGCTGTTTTCATTATGAAGAAGCTCAGAGACATCACTCTAGCCTCTACCATCTATCACCTTTCATTTATGTCAATGAAATGAAAAAGTAAAGGTCTCAGAAATAATTTTTAATACAAAGAAAGTTACAGATATTGACCATTAGTTTGGTTTTAATTTCTCAGCAGAAGAAAAAATTCACAAACTTTTAAGCCAATGCCTATATAACGTCTGTTTTGAAAAGGATTCTGGTCATAGCATACAATAGATTGGATCGGACAAAAAAAGCTAAAATTACACTGGCTCCTGTAACAGTTGTCATCTGTGACCAGACAAGTGACAGCTGGAAAAACACTCGAGAAATAAGGGCTTTTTAAAACGTTTTGGTTTGGTTCAACTTATCAGCAAGCTGCAGAACACCTATTTACAATTTGCTAATCTTTTATTCATAAATCTGACATGAACAAATGGACATCGAGAAGCCTTCAAAGTATAATTGGTTTCTTTGTTTGTAATAGATCTCTAATTCTATTCAGCTTGTTTTATTAGGCAGTGTGCTTACTTGTTTGTTTACCTTTGCTTTCACACAAGTACACCCAAACACACAAGCACAGAAGAGTTAAGTGGAAGTGTTTTAACCCCAGTGTTTTCTTTCTGAGAGGTACCTGTTTGCTGAGTCCCAGCTGGAGCACTGGGATTTGGAGGTGGGAGAGGCTCGCTGGAGGTGCTTCCTGAGAGGCCTGAACTTTCTGGCAATTGGAACAAGGTGCTTGAGCAGGTACTGGTTGAAGACTGCCGGCCTCTGAACTCTTAACAAAAAAAAAAAAAAGAACCTTCTTTTTCTTTCTGACAATTTCACACATGAATTGCTTAGAGGCTACACTTGGAATAAAGGAAGCAATGTCTTCAGACATGGCAGGCTCATATGAGGTCAGACAATGGCTTTTACAGCTGCTCTAGCAGTCACCTGGCTTTAAAGAGCCTTTCAAATGATCTCTCCTAGGCTTTACACAGACGCCAGCCCCCGTGATAGCTGAGCCTGGATGATGAAAAGCAGAGCTCGAGGAAGACAGCTTCATTATCTTACCTGCCCCTTTCCAGCAGATCACAGATCCTTTGGTCAGAGCTCCCTGTGCATTCCTGACCAGATAATACTTTAAGTGTTTCTGTTTCTTGGGCTGAGTGGTCAGTTTAAGATTAATGTGATTTGAGAATTCTGTAAAGTAGCAGAAGCCCTTCTTGCCACAGCCAACACAATTGCCAGAAAAGCCTGATAAAATAAACAATACACATAATCCAGTGAGATATGAGGGTCACTATTAATAATATTCAAGTATGACTCTTTCCAGAGGAAAGGCTGTATTTATGTTTTGGGTTTTTGGTTGGGTTTTTTTCACAGAGTGAAATCTTTATTAACGTTTTCCTCAAGAAAAGTATTTGCGCTTTGCACAGAAAGTGTATTGCACTTCAGATACCAGACTGCAAAAACACAGCCCCATGTCTAAAAACAAATAAAATGGGCCATATTTTTCATTTTCTCCCATAGAAAAAGGTCACAATTCCTATTTATTACCTACCTATGAAGTTTCTGACTGAAGAGCACTGAGTCAATTGCTTAACCCCAGCCCTATTCAGTACCACAGCACGTACGTGCTTCACTTCTCTTTCAGTTTTCATTGACATCTCATCCAATTTCACTGAATTTCACTTCACTCAAATCAGTGAAACATGCAATTAAGCCTAAAACAAATTAGGTATATTTAACCTACTATATTTAAATAGATCTAAACATATTTAAATACCAAGTTCCTTCTACAGATGCTATTTTAGAGAGGAGAAAATACTAAAGCATTCCTGTGCTATTAATTTAAAATAGCTTTGTCAAAATACGGCTGGACTGTGTCAGCACTTCACAGCAGTTGAAACTATTTATGATTACAGGAACAAAGTGTCTGCAACTTTATAGACACAACAGAGACATAGTCCTTCCCCCGTAAAGCTTTTTGTACTCAGGCTTGATGGGGCATTTCCAGGGATGCTGCCATTTCCTCTCATTCTGACATACACAGCTTGAGCCTCAACAAGGGCCTCATGGTGCTGATGTCATTAGCATCGTAAATGAGGGGCACTGCTCACACAGCTGCCTTAAGATGCTTCATTTGTTTGTCCATTTTACAAAGTATTTCTAAAGACATTTTCATCTTCCATCAGACTAATGCAACTATCTGAAAATAATAATAATAATAATTATTATTATTATTATCATCCTATACTGAGCAATTAAAAGATAATCTTGCCCATGGAAATCTTCTCTCTGTTCCCTACACATGACCTGAAGTATGATCTTTTCTTTCACCTTAATCATATGTAATGAACATTTTTATGTGTTATAACAGGAATTGAAATTAAAAGGGTCTATTCAGTGAATTGAAACATGGTAAAAATAAAGGAAATGCATTTCACATAAGGTGGAGAATAACATTTAAAAGAAAAAACTGGAATGAAGGATCAATAATATGGTAAATGAAATTTAGATCCATGTATGAAATTTATTATTTCAATCACATACCTCAAATAAATTAAATTTACAAACTAATGGTCAACACTTTTTTCTTTCTGTAAAGTACAAGAACTGAAACATAATGCTCTGTAAACACCTGTTGCTTGGTTTTCAACCTGAGCACTTCCATTAATTTTCAAAAGGTTCAGAAGAATTTATTAAAAACTAAAGTTGATGTGGAGATTGGTCTGGTATCCATGGGAACAAGTGGCTAACAACCATTGAAAGCTGCCTATTATCCCTCTGATCCTAGTCAGTAGGATGATAAAAGTCATTGTGACTCATAAAATCAGGACAAGTCATGACTCTGCAGAATCCTGTGTTATATCAGTCAGCACAAAAGCATCTGTCTAACATCACAGAGCCTTGAGTAGCTGCAATAAAAGCAACAACAAAAGGAAACAAAATTAGAACGGATGTGGCAAAAGCTGTGGAGTTTGCACGCATTTTATGCCAATTAAGAAATCATCAAAAATGCTTTTTCTAGTAAATGAAAACTTCCCATATATTCGGCAGCACACAGAGCATCACAGCAGCAGCACTGCAATTTTTGCCTGGTTACCACTTACAAGACCAGACACGTTTTCAAATTTATTTTGTTTTTTAGCAAAAGTACACTTTTTAGGTTTTATCACTCTGCTGAGAGTGTCTTGACAAGGCAACTTGACAAAGCCAAGTGTTGAGGTGTTTGTTCAATCCAAGTTGAACAGTAGACACAAAATCTTGTCATTTAGACTTGAGATTTTCAGATCACTTCTGCAAATTACATCTGTCCAAAACAGATGCAGCAATAATTTTTACCTGAAAAAGCCTTTTGCCTTAATCATGTATTCTTAACTCTGCTTCATCTTCTGGAAAATTAGTTTACATTCTATACAGCATACAGGTAAGGCCTAGTAAGGATTAAACAAATCTAAATTGTCCACTTGTTTTGAAAAGCCCTTGGAGGAAATTGTATACGTTTATTTTTTAATTTTCCTTTAAGTCAAATTATCATCTTTCACCTTAAGTTTCTCCAGCCCCTCTGAGTGAGACTCAGTCGTTTCTTGCAAGCTCCTGCCACCGCCCTTTTCCATCCCATTCCCTCTGACTGACACTCTCTGGTGACAGCCATTGCTTCATTAATGCAGCTCAGCCCTGACACCACGGATAGAACACAGCATGCTCTTACAGTTCCAGTGCAATAAAATGCTGTTCAGTCATTTCTCCTTGCAGGGCTCTGCCACCCCTGCTCAGAGCATTTTATGTGGCAGATTGAGTAACATTGAGAACCCAAACATTTCATCATCATCCTCTAAATGCCCTGCTCCTGCCATGGCCCAAGGCAGCAGCTGACAGAGGGAACAGCTTGTTTCATAAACAAGCTGCATTAAATATTCTTCCATACATTAGAGAGAGGACAAAGGTCGGGGGAGTTGGGGCAGCCATAAGGTGACTCAATATATCTATGTCATGGGATTGATTTCACTAGAGAATTAGAAATCAATGCCTGGAGTTTAGAGGCTAAAAGCCTTTCACCTTTCGGTCACTGGTTCATACCAAGCTCAGTTCAGTTGTGACTAAAGGCTGTTCTCTAAAGTTTGTTTAATCAGGAGGTGTTTGATTGTATCTGTGATTTATCATATGCATTTGCCTGGATTTGCTCACATCACAATGATCAATTGTCCATAATTTAAAAAGCTCTTCCACAGCAGGGATCTTGCAGTCTGAAGAAGGAGCTTGGACCAAAAGGTTATGAAACCTGACCTACCTTCTCACTGATAAAATGGTTCCTTTGGATCAACAGTGAGTTTGTGGTAGGGATAAAGAGAGGAGTTCAGAATGGAAGGACATCCACTCGATATTTCATAATCGATTCTTTCATAAAGTGGTAGAAAATTTTCTTCTTGTTTCTCTTTTAAATGAGTAACAGGTTTTTAATTAACATTAATATTTTGATGAAAAGTTTGCAGCTTGCTTAAAAAAGTAATAATTATATTTTCAACTTTTCACCACAAGTATTTCTTCTTTTCAGTTCTACTCACAGAAAAAGGCACATAAACACTGACAATGCTCCATGGTTTTCCCACCTACTCAGTACCACTCCATTTGAAGACTGAAGTCCTAAGTTTAAAAAACGAATAAAATCAATATGGTCAAGCTGGAGAGCTCCATTGTATAGAAACTCAGTACTGTTACAAAAGCCCAACAGATCATTGCATATTTATAAGAAGCAGTCACAGAATCTTATACTCCAATGTTTTCATCTTACATACAGCTTACAATGCAAGCAAACTAATCTTTTCCTCTGTCATTCTGACCTCAGGGACCCGTAGGAAAAAAAAAAAGATTTCTTGTTCCCTGCTAGGAAAGTAGGCAGCTGTTTGGTCTTTTGGAAAATGATGGGTGAATAGCTGCTTTGTTTATCATGAGAGACTCCCCTGAAGAGCAAGAACTAGAAAAAAAAAACAAAATAAGAAAAGGAAAAAAACCTTTGGGAGCAGTACATCTATGCTGCTTTAATTAGGAAACAATAAATATCTCACTATCACAGATCACTTCTTCCATCTAAGCATTCCCTTAGACTACATAAAACTGAAGAAACAGCTAACCAAAGACAAAAACCTGAATCTGTTTTGCAAAGCAGTTAAACCTGTGATCTAACATGATTAACAGAATCCTATGAGGAACATGCCTACAGACAGAAAATATTTTCCTTGTCAAAAATATAGTCTTTTCCAGAAACTGTTGAGGTTTTCTTCCTATGGAATAATATATCAGTTGTAGGAACTAAAAAATAAAACAACCTCCAACAGAAATTACTTTCAAATCACAAGCACACCTGCTTTGATGGGGGGACAACATTGTAGCATTATCAATAAAATGCCACTTGCCCCAGAGAAATAGCAACAGTCCCAAATGGGAACAAGATCATAAGTCAAAATCTAAAACCACTAAACTACTAAAACTACTGAGACATTTCCTGCTTTCTTCTGGTCTTTTTGTACAATCCACAGGCAGTTTCACACACATATACAGCAGACCATAAGAAATCAGGAAACTATTGGGTGACTCATTGGTGTCACCTCTCTTTAAATAAACTCTTTTGAAAAATGTCAACAGTACTGAGTAACGTCTGCCATACAAAAAATACAGTATATTAAGAGGAAAAAGCATGAAATTGGGCAAAAAAACAGTGATGTTGAAGGGTTACAAATCCTGTGTCTGTATCACCAACAAGCCTTACTAAAAGTGTGGGATGTACTCTGACTCATGACAGCTAATTTCAATTCAAAATTAATCCAATTCAATTTCCCTCTAAACTTACAAAGGCTTGAAGGGACAACTTTCCATGCTGTTTCAAAAGGCCAACACATTTGACTGAGTACTGTCTAAACTCAGAATACCAAAAATAAGGCTTCTATGCTATCTTGAAAAGCAAGACACCAAATAGTTTCCTTTCTTCGTGTGACATGTTTTCAATTTAAGTCTACTGCCAGACAGAGATCACTGTGCAACATTAATAGATTAGTTACAGCAATGATGGTTCTGTTTTTTATCCCACTATGTGTCTGAAACAATGAGACTACTCATGTCTGCTTCTAATTTTATTTCCCATTTGACTTGCAGTGGCATATGAAAACCTGAATCAAACAATCATTTATATTCACAGTATGATCTATTGTACAGAGAGTATACTATCTTCATGTTAGTATTTTTTTTTATTAAATTATGTATTATGATACATAATTTTTTTCATTAGATTAGGGATCAGGAACATTATTTTTTCTCCACCTCCACGTTTATCTCCACCTGAAGACGAAGACTTCAGATCTTAAAGTATGTAAGTTCTTTTATATTTGAGCTTGTTGTAAAACACATAAAAATCATACTACAGAGTTACTAGAATTCTCTGCAAAAGAACGTGGTTCACTGGGGTTTAAGGGTATAACAACAGTCAAAAAATAAGCATTTAAATGGTTTCAGGAAACTAAAATGTATTAAATAAGCAAACTGAGGATGCAAGTAGCATAAAACCCTCCCAATTACGTCCCTGTTGCCTTTTTCTGTTCTTGTTTAGCACGCAATTAACAAATACACTACTTCCTCTCTGCTAACAGCCTAAGGAGCTTAAGTTGTTAATAGTGCTAACACTGAATGACTTGAGTGGTACAACATTCCTGTCTTTATCTTTAAAATGACAACACGTGGGTGATTTACAACCCTCCTAATTCTTTTACAATCACTGGTGAAATGCACTGTGACCAATCCAACTCTACAAGATCACATAGGAAAAGAAATTACTGTACATAGAATCACATTATGCACCTTCACACTCCACTGTCAGCCCTAATGCCTTGAAGAGCTGCTCAGACTGAGATAACAACTGAATTCACGTCATATTCCTCAGTCTTTGTGAGAAAAACCTCTTAAAATTCTTGGGAAATGTTTCCCTTTTGCTATTCAAAGCTCAGACTGGTGCACAAATATATGATGCATCATTTCTTTTGTTAACTATGGAAACAATATATATGAACCTGAGAGTGTTTGATTGCAAAATGAGTTCCCTTTACAATTAAGCACCACCTTTCCCAATATAAGAAATATTCCATTTTAATAACATTAATATTCATTTAATTAACTCCCATGATTGGAGATCTTCCCTATTTAGCTTGATTTGGATGAAGTTAATGGCGATCAGAAAGACTATAATAAAAATAGATAGAAGGATCTATTTTTATGTCAGAAATTAAACTTTTAAGTAGATTACACACAATAATTTGAAGCATCCTCCTAGGAGTATTTTTCAAACACACAGGATTAACTGATTACACGTATAGAAAAAATGTTGACTTATAATCACACATATTTATTTATATTGTGATAACAAAAAGTCATAGGTCAGGATCCAAAACCCAGGCTATTTTTCAAACATAGCAGAGAATATTATCCCTGTGTCAAATAGGTAAAATGAAATGTAATTTTTTGTAGTATAAATTATCATTAAACTGTTTATGTGTATATAAGAGCCTGAAATTTCCACTTGACAGGCCTACAGTCTGTACACATCTGTATTTGGAAAGCTAAAATGTTCAACCTGTCCAGGTACTAGATGTGCAGTTCCAGCAACTAGGACATGCACCAGTCAAATAATGACTTTAGCCTTGGACTCAAGGACAGAAGGTGATGAAGCATCTCTAATGAAGTGGCTCACTCTGTATCTTTCCCAAGCAAGCACAGCCACTTCTGACTTGATATCTTCTTGTGCATGACCTGTGAGCATTACAGTGAGTAGATGTGGAATAGAAATAATATCTGCTGAACTAAAAAAACAATTAGCTATTATTAATTGAAGCCACAGAAGAATCCACTTACTGCAGTCAGAACTTACCCAACAGGGCATTGCGCCCGTTGTCATCTGGCAGGAACCTTTTATCCACAGCACACACCAACAGGTGATCAGGTAAATTTGGTGACTTTGCACCAACAAGTAAAAATCCAGATGGCACCTCAATATGTTCATTAGAAATTGAAACCAGTCTCAAATCTTTACCAGCCTGGCAGAAACCTAGAAAAAATCAATTCAACTTAAAATAAGTTGACAAGACATTCTTGTTTCCTGCTTCATTAAAGGACTTCCTGTATTTTTAATGAAAAACAAAGTCTTACCCTCTAAGATCAAGGGCATACTAAGATATTTTTATTCCTTGCATTTTGCTCAGCCATAAACAAACAAAAATTTGAAAATGTACAATGAAGTTTTTCTTGGTGGTAGTTTGTAACCTACGTATTTATTGGACTCACCACTATCATCGTAACTTAGGTCAGACATTCAAAAAGGGAGAAAACAGTTATCAAAATCTGGTGAATTTCACCAGCTTTTCCTGGGTTTTCAAATATTTTTTTACATCTTCATAGAATAAGATATACTTTAAACAGAAAAGAGTGGGAATAAAGCAATAAGAATTATCACACTCATTTTAGCAAATGCTGTGCCTGCAAACTCGACATTTTCAAGGCTATGTTTCCTAAGAGAACAGAAGTTCTATCCTTGTGTCAGGCATTCCAACACAAATGCTTATCTGACACTGAACAAAGACCCTGTCAAATAGAAGAGCAACTGAGAGCAATCCAGCTTTATCTGGCAGGTAATCAACCCTGACATTTTTAGGATTTCTCTATCATATAGATTATCTCATTCTGACAAATTATAGGGGAAATAGCCCAAATTCTACCCTCTTCGGAAGGGCAAATGCTTCTGACAGCACGATTTGTACTCTTACCATCAGTAGTGCAACATCCTTCTGGGGGAGGCTTCATCTGGTAAGAAACAGGAGGACTACTTGATTCTGAGCCTTCTTCTTCATCCTCTTCCTCTTCTTCTTCCTCATTATCTGCTCTGCTGCCTGCTGCAAATTATCATACCATAAATGACTTGGACAACAGAAAATGCTGGCAACAAACCAGCGAGTGAACAGGGTGACCCAGTTACAGAAAGTATTACAGCAAACTGGAGTCTCTCCTCTTGACAATGACTGTTGCCAACTCTTGACAGTTGTTGTTCCTTAAAGCTCCAACTTCCAGTCATGCTTATGACAGAGTATCTTTCACTAAGCAAATAAAGATGTTAGTTCCTGTGCAAAAGAAGTTCAAAAGCATGACTCAACCGCACCTGAGAAAGTAAACCATCTTAAAGGACAAATAAAAAGAAGCCTCAACTTATTAATTTTTTAAATCACATTATTTTAAGATAAGTCCACAATTTTTAGGGGACTAGCTTCTAATGCTTGAAGTCTTGCTGATCAAAACTGTTTAACTGTATCCTTTGTTTATAAAATTAACAGCCAATAAAACCCAAAGTCATTATTTCTTGTCACTTTAGAATGTCCTGGCTACAGTCCAAGTACAGAATTTATTAATTAGGTATTGACCATGTCCTTGGTTTTGTACAGGACTCTGAAAAAACAGTTCCTGCTTGAAACTAGTTTCAGCACAGATGATGCCACAACAAGAACACCTAATTCTCAGCCTGTCTGTCTCCAACCAGAATCCAGAGCTCCAAGTAATGCACTGACACTGTACAGTGTCAAGGAGAGGCAGATGTTCAGGAAGATGATTCACACCAGCCTGTGCTTGGACTGTCCTAGTCCAGGAAGAACTACGGAGGCAATGCTGAATGCTGGAGGGGAATATATGATGCAAGCTTCAATTTTTAGAATATGTTACGTGTGTTTAGAGGGGTTTATTCCAGTGTGTTTCACCCCTTCCAACTACAGGCTGCCTCTTTCCTTCTCTCCACCCAAGGGACAATGTTTTTTTCATGCATGATGCCACAGCCTCAGCAAAACATACTGACCAGTGGCTTCATCCCCTCTTATGGCTCAGATACACTCAAATGGGACAAATGTGGCAAGCAGAGGAGAGCAATTAACTGGTGAATGGGGAAAAAAACCACTTCTCCAGACAGCACTGAGGAACATCTTACATTGAAGAGAGTGCACAAGCACTGAGTGAATCCAGTGGGGTTTATGTCTTAGTCATGTAGGCTTCTAGGTGTCTGTAGGGACACACCTGAAGCAAACACAACAAGAGCTTCCACTGGCAAAATTGGGTGGTGAAGAGCTGCAGGTACTTGAGGACCAGCAGGAAGCTGAATAGCTGCTTGTACTTGGGCAAGTAAAAGAGCAGTTAGGCACTGACATTACTCTGTTGATCCAGGTTTTAGACTTGAAACAGAAAAAAAGTGAAGCAGTGCAGTCATCCTCCAAAGCCCAGTGTCAACTGGACATACTCCCTTTGCTTCAATTGACTTCAGATCAGGTGCTCAGAATCCCATAGGATACCATCAAGGATTTCTCTTTTCTTTCCTATGACCCTCCTCAGAATATCCTTTTATTTTATTGACGAATTATTAAACAATCAGCTAGACAACTACTATAGGAGAAATGAGAACTAGGGAGGAGAAAGTAAATCTGGAGTCTGAAGATCTATCTGTCAAGGTCATTAAGATTTACAGTCCAATCTAGAAGAGGATTTGAAGGGCATGTTTACTTTTGAACTCTGAACATTAAGCTCCAGTCCTGGTGCACAGCTAAGAACAGAACACCAAACACAAGTGTTTAAAGGGCATGGTCTAAAGACAAAAATGCTACAATTGAATGAAGGGAAAAGTGAAACTTTTCATCTATGCTATTTAAATAAAGGGTAAGTTATGTGATATAAATAACTTTGATTAACATCCAAATGCAACGCCAAAGGGCTGAGCCTCTGACTCTTCCTTCCTTCCTTCCTTCCTTCCTTCCTTCCTTCCTTCCTTCCTTCCTTCCTTCCTTCCTTCCTTCC